AATGAGATTTATTTTCATTAGTATATCTTAAAAGATTTTATTGTGGTTCATGAAATACTGATAAGCACAATGTAACTTTCTGCTGGTAAACATCTTTAGCTCAGAATGCAAATGTTGACGTTGAACTGATCGATCAAGTTTTTGTTTTGCATTAGTACAAAATATTATTTTAGAGAAAACGTTGTTGCTTTATAGTAGATTGCAGTGGCAAATTATTTGCGAGACAAACTTATATTTCCTAATAATACTAAGCGTATAGCAATACTGAACGATCTTTTATGATAATTAGAAGTATTTGAATTATAGTATGAACTAAGAATCCCAGAAATAACGTAATCGGATCAAGAAGTACTAGATAACCACAAACGAATGTACTGTATTTATAATTCGAAATCAAGCATTCAACAAGTACAAAGGTAACATTAGTTCATTCAAACACCACATCCGCCACAGCTTAAATTGGAGTCTAGGTGTCTGTAATCAGTTGTACGTCTTTTTCTCAAGTTCATCCTGTTTTTGTCGGACAGTGTATTGGATAAAGACTCTGTATTATCTAGAATGTGCTCATCAGCATTAGAATTAACAACCGAAATTGGGATAGACTCACCTGATTCCTGGAATTGTATTTGATCAACATGTCGATTGTGTGTACTTAAGTCGTTGATATCTAGAATTCGCACCATAGATTTCCCGACATGCTTCATAACAATCCCCGTGGATGGTCGACGATCATTTCCACGATAATATGTGACTTCTGCAGACTCCAAACATCTCATATTTGACCAAAGAATTCTTCCTTTTAATAGCTTTGATGGAGTCTCTTTCGTCACCGAATGCCTGGCATTTCTATATTGCAGTAGAAAGATATCTACTTCCCTCTCCAGCTCATTAAATGTTGAGGCGGCAATAGAATCAATAGCAGTCTTCAATGTCCTGACAACATTTTCTGCCTGACCATTAGAACAAGGATGTCTGGGGGCAGTAAACAGATGTTTGCACCCTATACCATTCAACCAGGTAGTGACTGCATCTGCAGCAAAATGAGAGCCATTATCGGTCACTAACACCATGGGCACCCCTTCTCGACTAAACACCTTTCTTAATGCTTGGATTGTGAAATCAGAATTTGGTGAAGTTGTAAAAAAACTTCAGGCCACTTTGAAAAAGAATCAATGACTACCAGTGCATAGTATTTGCCAAGAAACGGACCACAATAGTCTGCATGAATTCTCTGCCAGGTCTCAGACGATACTGGCCATGGAGTCCACTTCGAAGGATGATTTTTCAACTGATGACATTTTTCACAATTGTTTGCTGTACGACATATGTCTGCATTTATTTCTGGCCACCAACATGTGAGCCTTGCCAAGGACTTCATTTTCGCAACACCTAAATGACCACTATGAAGATCTTCAAGGACAGATTTACGCAATAAAGGAGGAATAACAACACGATCATTTAAACACAAAATACCATCAGGAGTAGTGGATAGCTCATCCCGCTTTGAAAAATAGACAGGAAATCTACGTTTCAGATTAGCATTCCAGCCTTTCCGTATAGCACTGAGTATACATCCAAAGTATCTACGAGTTTCTCTAATGAGATCTGGATGTCTCACTGGTAAAGGCTGCACTAACAAACAGTCTGAAGTATCAGCAGGTCTATCTTGCAATGATTGTCGAGAAATGTAGTCAACGTGTTTAATTTGTTTGGCACTTTTGTGCTGAACCGTATAGTCATATGCACTCAAAACAATACTCCATCGTTGAACCATAGCAGCTAAGGAACGTGCTAAAGATTTTTCAGGATGATAAATAAACTTTAAAGCTTCATGATCAGTAACAATAGTGAACTACTTACCGAATAAATATTTATGAAGTCTTTTAACAGCCCAAAACACAGCTAATGCTTCTCGCTGAGTCTGTGAATAACATTGTTCAGTAACAGTAAGTTTGCATGAAACACAAATAACTGGTCTACCTTCCTGCTCTAAAACTGCGCCCATACCCAGAGGTGATGCATCAGTAATAAGCACAGAATGTACACTAGGGGAGTAAGTTCGAATAACAGCATCACTTTGAAGAAACTTAAGTAGACTTCGTAAGCACGACTCCTGTTCCTCACCCCATTTGAATGAATTGGATGTCATAATATTAAATAAACAATTTGCACGACAAGAAAAATTAGGAATAAGACGGGAATAGTATTGAAGAGTACCCACTAGTGAACGTAGTTCTGTAAGATTTTTTGGAAACGGTGCATTTGTCAGTGGAGCTAGTCGTTTCATATCTGGTCTAAAACCATTACCATCAACTGGGTATCCAAGACATTCAAAACTAGATACACAAAATGAACACTTATTTGGATTCACTGTAATATTCTTCTCAATTAAACGACGTAATAAAGCAATACGTCTCTCGTCATGAACTACCTTATCAGAACCATGAACAATGACATGATCTTGATAAACTTCAACACTTTCAAGATCACTAACTACTTTATTCATAACTTCCTGAAATATGGCTGGAGAACAACTTAGACCAAATGGAAGGAAATTGTATTTGAACAGACCAAAAGGAGTGTTAATTGTCGTCAAAATAGATGAAGATTGATCTAAAGGGATTTGAAGATAAGCATCTTTTAGGTCAACTTTCGAGAACACTTTAGGACCATGAAGTCGATTTAGAATATCTTCAGCCTCTACCGTCGTGCACGTTTGCTTCAACAAACGGGAGTTCAATGTTAATCTATAGTCACCACATATTCTAGGGGTCTTGCCGTCCGACTTCAGTGGCGTAACAATAGGAGTATCCCATGCTGAAGACTGAATCGGTTCAATTATGCCTTTCGCACACGAATCGTTTAAAGTCTTATGTACTGCTTCTCGAAGACCATAAGGAATTATTCGTCTTTTAAGAAAGACTAGATCACCCTGTACTTGAAGTTTTATGGGCTGAATTTTCATACCTTCACTGCACTTAGCACACGTAGCTATCAAATCTTTAAGTAAAGCATCAGAGTTTTCTTTAGAAACTAGGAAAGGCAACTCCACTTTAAGCCTTTCCAAATTCTTTAAACCCAGTATTGACAGTCCTGTTTCGCTAACTAAAAATTCACAAGGTATATATGAAGAATTATCATCTCCTATCAGCGATTCACAACATCCTTGTATGGACAGTCTGTGTCCAGTAATCCCCAATATTGATACTTCAGTGGGTCGTACCACAACGTTAGGATCTAAAGATTTCAAGTTCTTGAATGGAATAATGGACTCTATACTGCATGTGTCCACAATAAAGTCATGAAATGAACCAAGTGATGTATATGATCGCTTCTAAATATGAGCATTACCTTTCGAAATGGTAGACAAAGATAAATGATCATTAGGAACAGCTGAATTAGTGGGATCTAAATTACAAGATTTAGTACTACTTGAAGCAAAATGGACAGTAGCTTTGCATACTGACTGAATGTGTCCTATCTTACCACATTTAAAACATTTAGCATTACGAAATGCACACGAATTACAAGAATGAAACTTTCCACATGATAAACATTTACCAAACTTGATCTCACCTTTGTGATTTGCTTTGTGATTCCTTGTTGAAACACCTTTCATATTTACACGAGAATAGGAATCACTGTTAAACGAGCTCAAGTTTGATTGATCCTGAGATTGTATTTCATTATGACGACTAAGCAAAGTATTATAAATCTTCATCGACTGGATATCAAATTCATTCACTGCCTCGTAGTTAATACACGCAGTCCTAGCATCTTGAAAGGAACAGTTCGACATTCTTAACAGCTCTCTTTCCAAACCCGGTATGTTAATTCCTGAAATTAATCGATCTTTCAGTTGCACATGAAGTTGATCACCGAAATTACATTTGGAAGCTTATTTCTGCAATTCAAGGACGAATTCCCTAACCTTTTGTTCATTTCGACGAACCATCTTATGAAATTTCGCCCTTTCACGGCATTCAAAACTAGTGCACTTTACATGATTTAATAATAGCTCCTTAAGAGTTGCATGAGGAAGTGAGATAGGTTTTTCTGGATATGCCAAAGTTTTTAATAAGCTGTACGCTTCTCTTCCGATGAATGTTAGGAAATGTGCCACAATTTTATCACCTTTAACATCTTTCTTGGTCATGCTCCAGATTTCAAACCTTTCCAAATAATCCTCAAAAGCTTCAGAAGTTGAATGAATATCTAACTGTTCCATCGCAGGCTCCATCGCGACGCCAATATGATAATTAGAAGTATTTGAATTATAGTATGAACTAAGAATCCCAGAAATAACGTAATCGGATCAAGAAGTACTAGATAACCACAAACGAATGTACTGTGTTTATAATTCGAAATCAAGCATTCAACAAGTACAAAGGTATAATTAGTTCATTCAAACACCATATCTTTTTTGGTGCTTTTAAGGATTTTGTCTGATCTAATCATTTTAGAAGAGGTTACACATTCTCTATGCTTGACTTTTTCTAGTTTTTGAAATGGATTTATGTATTAATATTATTTAGGGGCTATTATAGTTCATTAATAGATCATAGTCTAATGTCTTGTGTTTTGATCCATACATTCTAGCAAATGACAGCAATATTATCAGGCTATCCAAATCCAAGTATGCGGGTACAGGTTCAAACCCACAACAGCGTGTTTATGCCGTTGTCTTCAATCAATATTAAATCTCCCTTGTAATTAACTTATTTCCCTCGTAATTTAAAAGCTCGCACTTGAGATTATTCGCTTTACAAGACTGCAATTTTGGGAGGCAGCACTAAGGAGTGAAAAACTACTCGATTGAACATGCTTAAATAAATTTATAAAAATCAACTAAATTCGGGTCATTAAAATTTCCGTTCCCGGCCGGTTTGTGTTTTCATGTAACCAAAAAGCTCAATGGTATAATTTTTTTAAAAACCTAGGCTTGTTTTTCCTTCAATTATCAATTGACAATGTATTACGTTTATCCTCCAAATTTCTAGACAATGATGATATTTGGTAAACGTATACGTTATGTGACCGTACCGAAATTAATTGATATTTCATCAACACTTGCAGAATGGGAGTCCAAAAGTCAAAATGGTAGAATATTTTTATCTAGACCAACAAAATTATCAAAACCTTTAAAGGAGAGCCAGATTAAAAATAATGAGAATGAATTGTGTCAGTCAAGTATGACAAATGATCATTTTGTAGATATTAATTATGTCGATAACACCGAGAACATTCCGTGGTTGGAACAATCTGATCTAGAACAATTTGCATCTATTGGTGTAAAGCCGACAGGAGATAAAAAAGTTGATTTAATTATGGTGCAAACCTTAAAAGTACTTAATAACCCATTATAGTAACAGTATATTTGTTCGGTTAACTTGAATACATTAAATACAACTATGTTTGTGTAAATATTTGGGAGGATACGTTTAATAGTGCTCACTTTCAACGTACATCTTTTTTTGTATCATTCTACAAACCATTTCTTTGGAGTTAATGATTGATAAATCGGACTAATACACATACGTACCAGGTTCTGAGTTGTTGTTGATTGAACGATATTATTATTCATTTCATTTCATTTCAGGATTAACAATAGGGAAGATATATAAACTGTCGAATCGTCTCACTGTTTTTCGCTTTCCGTTTATAACCCAAGACAAAAATATTTGATTTCTGTGTCTTTTAGTTTCATATTGTCATATGGTAGGTTTAGTGATAAGGAAGTAATAAAATCAGTTACATTTCAAAGTCTATGGACTGAAATTTAATTCTCAGTGTCGTACTTTAACCTAACCGTAAATTTGTAAATATTTATGTAGAAATGAAACACCCGTTTATTATTATTACTACTACTACTACTACTACAATTATTATTATTATTATTATTATTATTATTATTATTATTATTATTATTATTATTATTATTATTATTATTATTATTATTATTATTATTATTATTATTATTATTATTATTATTATTATTATTATTATTATTATTATTATTATTATTATTATTATTATTATTATTATTATTATTATTATTATTATTATTATTATTATTATTATTATTATTATTATTATTATTATTATTATTATTATTATTATTATTATTATTATTATTATTATTATTATTATTATTATTATTATTATTATTATTATTATTATTATTATTATTATTATTATTATTATTATTATTATTATTATTATTATTATTATTATTATTATTATTATTATTATTATTATTATTATTATTATTATTATTATTATTATTATTATTATTATTATTATTATTATTATTATTATTATTATTATTATTATTATTATTATTATTATTATTATTATTATTATTATTATTATTATTATTATTATTATTATTATTATTATTATTATTATTATTATTATTATTATTATTATTATTATTATTATTATTATTATTATTATTATTATTATTATTATTATTATTATTATTATTATTATTATTATTATTATTATTATTATTATTATTATTATTATTATTATTATTATTATTATTATTATTATTATTATTATTATTATTATTATTATTATTATTATTATTATTGTGTTATCGTTTTGTAGTTAAAGAGTTAAACATATTCATATTTTATACTCTAGGAACGATCACATTGTGTGGCAAATATTTGATAAGAGTCCACCAACCTTTGTCTTCTAAACATATAGAATAATGTTATGCAAGAAAATATGATGATTTTTTTCACTGATAAAAATGTGCAACATTGATATACAAAGAACACAAATAATTAGGAATGAAGTGAATGTATATGCAGTAATCTCAGGTGCCCTAGCAGATTAAGACGAACGTGCCGGACATATACATCAGTTGATAACGAATCTAAGGGACTTTTATTTAATCTTATTACACTAAATTTTAGAGAAATCGTCAAGAGTTTGTAGTTTTTCGAAATTGTGACTTTCTACAAGATATTGAGACTGTCGTACGGTTCACCGATTGCTTTTTCGGATGCGTCTGCTGCTATGCCAATAAAACTATGAAGTCTACGCGTGAGCATCTTTGTCTTTCATCATTCCAAGGTTTCCGATGGATAGTCAAGATGGTTTTGAGAACATGGGTTGTCATATAGAAATATGATATGTGGTATTGGTAACTGGTAACACGTAGGGAATCCCTCGTTACTTGTCTAAGGTCAGAGTAAAAGTTGAGTAGCGGTTAAAAGTATGGATTGAAAGTACACTTAGCTTCAACCGAACGCAAATCCATAGCTTAGTGTTTCCATGTAGAAACCTTCATTTACTTGGATGGGTGCGCAAGTTCCGAACAGGTCTACGACTCATAGCTATTAAAGCGTCTGCTATAACTTGATCAAACTCATGTTGACATAAACGCAACTTTTTCAGTATATGACAGTAGGTTTTTCACTTGTCGCCTGTAGTTAAAGCACGGCTTCCCACTAGAGACTGGTCAAGGCTATGAGGAAAATGCCAATTTTTTTGCCAGGATCTATGAGATTGCGAACTTTTTTCATTAACTCGTGAATATATAATAATAGTAATTTATTCTCAGTGACCGTAAGTTAAATGAAGCATGCTAACTTATAGACAAGGTCAAATTGTTACAAGTGTTGGATTTTTATTACGTTGGACTCGTTTACTCATTTTGGTTGCTGCTTCATGATGGCAGTTTTTCTACAGAAACAGGATAAAATAATGGTGTGCAAATTGATGATTGTTGGACGAAAAGTGAATTGTACAGTGTAGAAGATGGCGCGTCATATGGGTGCTGCGTTACGAGGACGAACTCTTGGTAGTATATGCTGCACGGGTCATACAGTTTATAAAAAACGTAACGACCCCGGTTATTACCAACGAGTACCGATAGACTAGTTATGTCCGTAACTTGAGAGACCATCTATACTCTTCCTTCAAATGTCCACTGCCTCTATCTGATCTTAATGTTCCGACCTCACATACCACCAATTGATGAATTTGACTAAGTTGGTCAGGTCTACTCACTTTGTTATACCTACTGTTATTTGTGTTTAGCTCCCACTTTTCCTAACTGACTGCTTGTTTGAGATACGTACATAGATCACATTATTTACATTTCACATACATATAAAACATTAGGGATCGAATTTGACCTGTTTCTACCATTTCCTACCCCTCCCCCAGACTGCACACTGTTATGGGACAGGTTTAAAAAAGCTACCTTCGGCAGGATTGTCCCTGAAGTAGTTTCTTGGGTTAAAAACTCCATGTTGCTATCGTTGGGCCAGATAAGATGAATCCTCGACTTGCGAATTTCCTGTGTACTGGGTGGCTGGTAGATCGCTTTTCCCTTTTGTTAGGCTCTAGGTTCATAGTTTGTTATGATTTTGCCTTGGCTAACTATATAGTATGCAGGGTTTTAATCCTAAGATCGTATTTTTCTTCGATGTGGAGGGGACCCCTATTAGGCCTGTTTTGTTTTTTACGTTTTGGCTTCTGGTTTCCTGTTCTGGTCGTTATTTTCATCCATTCATTATCTTCAGTAGGGGTAGTGGAGATTGTTGAAATCATGAACCGATCAGGGCTGGACCGCCATTAGAGGCCTGGAAGCACTGGACAGTCATTTCTCTCTAGTATGGGACTACTCAGCGGTAAGCACCCACGATCCTGCTTTCTCTAGAGATCGAAGGCCCTTGGTTCAAGCCTCACATGCAAGATCGTGGATATTTACTGCTGCGTAGTCCAATAATAGGACGAACTGGCTTTCCAGATTTCCACTTATTATTATATTACCACCATTGCATTAACTACATCTATGGATCTGGTGTTCATCTTGTTGTGCTAATGAGATATGGAAACTTGGACCGATGCGTATATGTGCCCGGTTCTATGTTGTAGCTGACTGACTGACTTATTATGATCATTAGAGCTGCACGTCGGTATCCTTTTTGCTGTTTGCCCGTATCATGGTATCCGGTATTTCTTTGTTTCGCAGAGTCTCGATGTATTTCACGAGATCTATTTTAAACAGGTTCGGTAATGGAGAACCTGAGTGTTTCCCTGGGATATTATGCTTGAATACTTAGTGGCAAGTATACCCAGTTTCTGGACACAACTGCGTAAAGATTTGCCTGCCAAACACGATGAACCCAACCATCTTGAGAAAACGTGTTAGAAGGTTTTTGATGAAGAAAAAGAGGAATGTCAGAGCATTATTAACGGCGACCTAAGCTTCCTAAAAGTACACCTCAATCAGGATGTACTGCAGTCTAGAACCGAAACCTCATTGATAGTCATGACTTTTGGTGTGTTATCGTACCCCGACACTGCTCCTTCAAACACAGTAGTGACACCTCAGAAGAGTATTAACGACTAGTACCATGCCTGCTGTCACATATTTAACCACTCATTTAAATATATGTAAATAAGGCTGCTAACACGAAAGGTGGAAGCTTAACAATTACGGATAGTATATCTCCAATCTACTAATCAAAGTACATGCGTGATGTCTGTCTTCTCTTTAAATTTTGATAGATGTCTTTCCGTTCGAAGTCCTATCCGCTTTATAGATTCCTTGGAGTTGATTGTGTTTTAATCAACCGAATCACCTATCAATACAAATTATTTTGGATTTTATTTCGTGCATTCTAGGTCAAATTTTCCTCGTTTGTGCGCTTCAACTTGCTTTAGGGGGATAATTAGTCACCTTGTAGGATCTAGTTCATAGGATAATCTAAACTATCGTAAAAGCTATAGTAGTGTATGAGGTACAAAGGGTCGTCAATGATACTGACCTGGGGTCACTCGCGATTTTGGTGGTCCCAGTAGTTCATGGTGAGCAGTGTGGTGTTAGGAAAGGCTGCATGTATATTCATGGATCAATGGTAAGGGAATTCCGGATCATATTGAGGAGTTAGAGACTTGTGAAAAAGGTGACATTTTCCTTCATTCGCTAAACATTTGTCCCTAGTACACGTACTCTAATTATTAAACGCTTAAGTTTCCATAACACAGCTGTGAACCTAATTGTACTAGTCGCGAACAGGCCTTTAATTTATTGCTGGGAATAATAAGACCGACATTTACTCCGGCAAGTTCGCAGATGGTAAAGAAGAGGCTTCAAACTTGGCGCTTAGCCGAGACTTGATACCAGAAACGTGGAAACCGACACAGAGAACCTTCAAGCTACTTTCAGGTAGAACGTCACTCTGCACCCTAAAAATATGCAATCCTTGTTATACAACGATATACATAACTACTTACTATCCATTAACTCCTCACACCAACAGCACGGTCTCGGTAAGTGTCACTATTCTATGACCAAGTAGCTGATCGTGGTGGACAGACGGAAAACCACCCTTGATCCCAAAGGGAAGGTCGACGTCATATACACTGACTACTAAAAAGCTTTTAATAATAATAATATATTTCTGCATGTGCAGGTACACACCGTTTTTACAGACATGATCTATAAATTACAACATTTGTTGGTTCGCAAAATGCTTCCCAACTTATTAAGTTTATAGTTGTTATAAAGTGAAATCGTAGAGCGCGTGCTGTAAACTATGACCTTGAGAGGACGCGTACGTCAAGTTTGCTCCAAACGTCAGAAGTTTCATAGCTGTGCTCTCACAGCAAGATTTTGAAGAAAAAAAGAGAAACAGAAGAGCAGCAAGGCACTTGGA